TACTAATTTTCATATTTCAATATTTCTAGGCAAGCAGATCTCTTATTACTCTAATTCACAACAGTTTCGGGACCATAAGGGTAGCGAAGGAAAAATGCACTGCCGATCATGATTATCTATCTACTCCTTAAATACTATTTCAGGTTACATGAATCAAATGGGTGATCTTTGTGATAATAACCCTAGCATAACTATCATTAACGCATAGGGCTATTATTCTTGCTCGGATCAACTTTATTGATGAAGATACAATATGGAAGAAAAAAGAGGATTATGGGAAAGTGGTGTGCTTTTCAACAGGCTGTTCTTGCAAAGCATGTATGATTATGCTTTCCTCAAGTCTATTACACTGTAAATTCAAATCTTTGACAATATTGAAGAATTGGTTACCTCATATATCTCATTTCCAAATATCCGGAGATGATATTGTTGATAATGTAGAACTATACAATCTTGGGAAAAGGTCTTTGGAAAGGTATACTGAAAAGAATTGCAAATCCAAATTGACAAATACCCTCAATAGCTCTTCGACTCCTTTGTATGGTTCCACCCACTTTCTACTCCTAAGAAATTGTTGAAGATTGGAGTAACAATAACTTTCTAAGAGGGTTTACCTGAAAATGTTTGAATATGGAAATTAGTGGCCATGGATTTGTTGGATATATCCCCGGTGCAGAAGCTAATGTAGATAGTGTAAAAATAGTTTAAAAATTATATATATGGGATATATAATTATTATACATATGTGTAACAAGTAGAATGTGCCACACCGTAGCATGGGCTCGTGCTTGCTGCCTCAAAAGAAAGTAAAATGCAAAAGTAACATGTATATGCAGAGCAGAAACTAATCAAAAATGGTTCAAGATCCTATATAGGATAGAAAACGTTAACATATAACTCGATCAGGTTTTGGTAAATCAACGTTCGTGAAAAAAAAAAAAAAAAAAAGAAGAAAGAAATCGAACAGTTGAAATGGTGAAAAGTGGAAGCCAACTAAAATATTACCTTGAGCCAAAAAAGACTAACGTAATTGAGAGTGTGGAGATTCGCCAAACAAAAGGACACCCTGAGAAGCTTCCAAAATAATCAGTTACAGAATTTATAAAATGGTATAACAATTTTGAAAAAGTATCCAAATAAGATCTTGATTTCAAAGATTTTACATCACCTCAAGAAAATGTGCTAGTCTCTCTTATTAAATGAGATAGTTTACAAATGAAAAAAGAAATTTTATTGAATAGAGAGTTGTACAGAATCCAGGCTTATCATTAGGGATGGGCAAATCGAGGATTTTTTGAAAATACTACAGTCTGCGCAGCCTATACGGGCCTGCATTATGGCTAATGAGGGCCAAAATTGCTAAATTTCAGTAGTTTCCAGCATATTCTGGCCTTCCAGAATATTCTGCTTGCGTAGCGGCCCATTCCTACTTATCATCAATTGGACCAAAAAATTGGACTGATCCAAAAATTGCGAATCCAAATCGACAAGTACTATCAACAGTTCTTCCACCCTGAGTAATTTTGAAACAAGAATTGCCTACATATACGATGGCATTGTGAACCTGGAAGAGCTATTGGTTGAATCTTAATGTACATATATAGGTGTTTACTGAACCTAATTATGAACACCTTGGTGAAGAAAAAAAAAAAAAAAGAAGAAGGGACCTTGGAAGACAATCTTCAGGAACACCTTATCCCGACAGCAAAAAAATATAGAAAAAAAAAAAAATATATATATATATATATAAAATAAAATGTGAAGAGCTGAGGTCTTCTTCCATGACTCTGATTCATCTTGTATTATGTATATATAACAAGTAGAATTCGCCACACCATAGCGTGGGCCTGTATTTGCTATTTAATAGAAAGTAAAATGTGGAGAAGTATGTGTATGGATGAAAGTAGAATACATGTGGGCTTGTACATGCTACTTAAATAAAGAAGAAAAAAGCACCTTTTTGTCATTACTTGTAGGGTAGCAAGTAGAATGTGCCACACCATAGCGTGGGCTCGTGCTTGCTACATTAGGAAAAAAAAAAATGTTTCATCAGTTGTCATTGGATAAGTGTGGCATGTTTGTTTTTAGCACATGTATAGCAAGTAGAATGCGCCACACCATAGTGTGGGCTCATGCTTGCTGCTTTAAAAAGAAGGGGGAATTATGAATTTGGTAAGTAAAGGCAAAAGAATGAATCGAAAATGAGTATGTACCGGTGGGTCGAACTAAATAAAGAGGTAAAACAGAAAGAAGAGCGGAAGCAGAAATGACAGAAGGAGCTAAGGAAGTGGAAGAAGCCAAAGAAACCAACAAAGTGAAAGAAGCCAAAGAAGTCTGAGAAGCCTGAGAAGCTGATGAACCTGACAAAGCAGAAGAAGCCGACAAAGCGGAAGAAGCTGGCGAAGCCAGAAAAACAAGAAGCAAAGGAAGAAGCAAATGTATACGAATCAGAAAAAGTGGAAGAGTGGTGGAAGCAGAAAAGGTGGAAAATATGCATAGAGTCTTTGTTAGGGTTAGGAATGCACTATCATAGTGCATCATATACATGCTCAAGTTTTGATCCTCTTTTGTCTTCGTCACATGATCAGCACGTGACATCTGATTAAGTTGTAGTTGTTTTATGTTTAAAAATATATATATTGGCGCCAAGAGCCGCAGCGTAGCACCACTCCCATATTGTATCTTCATCAATATAATACTTGTGCACTAGTACAATTACTATGAAATTTATCTGGGTAGTTGCTTGAGAACACACCAAGTTCACAATTATATAGTTTTAAGCTAGAGATTGGAATCGATGAGTTTTGAGTATTGATTAGTCACCAACTCTAGATTTTCGAGCATTAGTAAAAAATTTTGACCGATGTTCGAATGTTCATTGAGTTTTCAAAAAATACATACTGTATAAGTGCGAAATAACAC